GGCGGCGAAAGCCAGCTACGGTGCACAGCCCTGGGCTTAGCTGCCTAAACAGTGCGGCTGCCGAATGGCGGTGACCCAAAGCCGGGCTCCTAGGACAGGACCTCTGTCTGGCCTCCGTCCGTCCGTCCGTCCTGGGTGACAAGGCGCCCAGCTTTGCAGATGGGCTTACAGCACATCCCCAGCCTTAACAGCCAGCACACTGCCCCTCCGCTGCCTGGGGGGCAGGGGCAGAAGGATATGGGGGGGCAGGTCCTTAGGGATGTAGAGTAAGTGGGCGACCTCCTGCAAGGTTCTTAGACTACAGTTAAAGTTTAACAATGTATTTTATGTAAATCATCTGGTCCCCTCCGTGGAGTCGGGGGGCGGGGGCACCCCAGGAGGGAACAATGGCCCGGGGATTAGATAATTTACTCAGTGCTCAAGTTCCAGGAAGTTTGTGTTGACGTGGGCCTGGATCTCGTTACTTGTTAGCTCCAATCTAAACCTTTATCTCCCTCGGAGCGGCGTGGAGGGGACGTTTTTTTCTGCGGAGTCATTTTTACAGTTGTCATTTTTCCCCCTTTCATCCGAGGAGGCCGGTGAGATTAGTAGCTCTGAGCGAGGAGATGAAAATACGGGGAGAGCCCCATGGGCCCTGCGTTGTTTATCCTGACGGAGCAGGCTTTGATCTGCACAGCGTCCCCGGGGTCTGCGGGAGATGACCTAATTCCTGTCTTATCCGTCTCCACTTTCTGGTAGTCTCAGATGGCGCGTTGCTGGGGAGCCCTTTGAAATGCACTTTGCATTCCCCCCACTTTGTCACCCCCTCGGACATTTGTTTCATTAGGGGGCAGAGCATGTACCTCCTGGTAACGACGCGGATGCTTTATTTTTCTAGCGGGGCTGCAAAGTTTTAACAAGAGTGGGAGCTTTTTTCTCTCTCTCTTTTTTAAGTTCTCTCGTTCTTGACATTCACAACACGCCAAAACCAATAAGCAAATAATCCGCCGCTCGAAATTCATGTCAACGGCAGATCGTTTAGGATTTTCTGTATGGACACGATGGTTTTTTTCTAATTAAAAAAAACAACAACTGTCCCCTCCACACACCCCC